CTCTTTCCTGACTGCTGCTTGACTTCAGACCAACACAAATTAGGGGTGCAGAGTGGTTTGCCGCTTATTTTGGTATGTTTTTACCACATCCCCACCACTGTCAGGACAGCCTCGTGAGGATGCCCAGCTCACCAGCTCCCACTCACATACCCCAAACTCAGAATCATGGCAGGGAAGCCTCTCCAGGGACATGGAAGCACTGTAGACTTACCCCTTATATTACCACAAGCTTCCCAGACAGGAAGGAAGATTTTCTGCAGCAGAAGACTTGAAAAAAAAATAATCAGCCCCTGCAACAGAAACCCCACATTGGGGTATAGGTCACATGCCTGACAATATCGATATGAAACCTACCCGAGAGGCCTGGTCTTGATCATCTTGTGGAGCGTCAATGAGACTTGGTTGGAAATTACATTAGTTTTGTTCTCTCTCTAATATAAAGCCCAGGAATCAAGGATTCATCTCCTCCAAATATTTGGTTACAGCCAACCATAACATTGCTTCACAGTGGAAAGAAAGCCTTCTCTTCCCAGAAAGATGAGGATACTGCTAAGCAAATAAGAAACTGAATTATAACTGGAAAAACAAAAGCAAATTTCAGCCACTAAACCAGTTCTTTCAGCTCCCACTCATTCCCTTCCCAAGAGCAGTAGGCACCAAATAAGTTTCACACCAACTGCAAAGAAGATTGGAAAGAAGAGCCCCAATCAAATTGTGATGCGTTTTGGCTTCAGCCTTGTCTGAGGAGCAAAGGAAAAAATAATACACTTTATGCTTCAGAAATGCACTGAAGTGACAGGATATCCCATGAAATGCCTGTGAACCCAATCAATCGAGATTTATTTTACTAAAACCAAAGTAATCTCCGAAGTGGACATTCTTGTTCAGAGGTCTAATGTGAATTAACCAAAATGGGTGCGTTAATTACATCACGTTAACCTTTCTGAGTATCCCTGGCTAGCTGAGGCCCAAGATACTACTAAGGTAAAAATTCTAGAAGTGACCAGTAACGGAAGAATTTTCTCCTATGAATGAAAAAAGCTCACAGGAGCAACAAATAAATTCAGACTACAGATTAAATTCCAGGTAATGTACAGCCAAGGGAGAAAAACAACTGTAATGAATACAACTTTGGAATAATCTTTTCCTCAGGTACCAAAATACATCAGGAAGATATAACAGTTAATCTTTCAAAATTTGTAGCTTTTTCAGGTAGACAATTAATAGATGCTAGGGTCGGAAGGGACCTCAACAGATCATTGAGTCCGACCCCCTGCCCTGGGCAGGAAAGAGGGCTGGGGTACGGCGACCCCCGAACTGAACAACCCCTCCTTTCTCGTGGCTGCAGAAGCCGTCAAGGAATCAAAATCTGAAGTGCAGAAAAAGCTGTGGGAGATGGAGTACACTTGGTGGAGAAACAAAGCAACAGAACTACAAGCTCCTACTGATACAAATAACAATCAAGGTTTTATCATAGATTTCATAGGGTTGGAAGGGACTTATTAGATCATTGAGTCTGACCCCCTGCCCTGGGCACGAAAGAGTGCTGGGGTCAGATGACCCCAGCCAGATGCCTATCCAGCCTTCCCTTAAAGACCCCCAAGGTAGGGGAGACCACCACCTCCCTTGGAAGCCCATTTCAAATTTTGGCCACCCTTACTGTGAAAGTTTTTCCTGATATCTAGCCTAAATCTGCTCTCCATCAGTTTGTGACCATTGTTCCTTGTTACCTCAAGAGGTGCCCTGGCGAACAGAGCATCTCTGATCCCTTGCTGTGCCCCCCTAATGAATTTGTAGGCAGCCACAAGATCACCTCTCAGCCTTCTCGAGGAGGCTGAAGAGGTCTAGGTCCCTCAGTCTCTCCTCATAGGGCTTGTCCCGTAAGCCCCTAACCATACGAGTGGCCCTCCCCTGGACCCTCTTGAGTCTACCAACATCCTTCTTGAAGTATGGAACCCAAAACTGAATGCAGTACTCCAGCTGCAGTCTGGCCAATGTCACACAGAGGGGAAGTATCACCTCCTTGGTTCTATTTGTCATGCATCTCCTGATGCATGATAAAGTGCGGTTAACTTTGCTGATGATTTCATCACACTGACGACTCATGTTCATCTTGGAGTTCACTATGACTCCGAGATCCCTTTCCACTTCTGTGCTGCTGAGAGGGTCGCTTCCCAGCCAGTAGGTGTGGCCAATGTCACACAGAGGGGAAGTATCACCTCCTTGGTTCTATTTGTCATGCATCTCCTGATGCATGATAAAGTGCGGTTAACTTTGCTGATGATTTCATCACACTGACGACTCATGTTCATCTTGGAGTTCACTATGACTCCGAGATCCCTTTCCACTTCTGTGCTGCTGAGAGGGTCGCTTCCCAGCCAGTAGGTGTGCTGGATATTTTTGCACCCTAGGTACGGCACTCTGCACTTGTTCTTGTACTGCATCCTATTGTGTACTGCCCACTTTTCTAACCTGTCCAGGTCTGCCTGCAATCTTTCCTTACCCTCCGGAGTGTGCACTTTACCCCGCAATTTAGTATCATCCACAAATTTGAACCACATCCAAGTCACTGATGAAGATATTGAAGAGTACTGGTCCAAGGACCAAACCCTGCAGGACTCCACTACCCACATCCTTCCAGTTTAACACCAACCTGTCTACTACCACTCTCTGGGTGTGACCACTAAGCCAATTTGCCACCCACCGAACTGTATAAACATCTATGTCACAGCCTCTTAATTTATTTATGAGAATAGGATGAGATACCGTATCAAAGCCCTTGCTAAAGTCCAAAAAAACGACATCCACCTCTACTCCTGCATCTAAGCATTTTGTGACCCTGCCATAAAACAAAACCAGATTGGCATGATCTACCTGCTATGAATCCATGCTGGTTTCCCTGCTGCATTATTTTTCCTGCTGGACTGCCAGAAAAATGCTCTTTCATAATTTTTTCAAAGACCTTTCTGCACAACTTCACAAACACAGTCTGTGTGTTAAGAACCAGGAATAAGTAAAATAGTTTCTCTTTAAAAAGCTTTTATTAAAAAAAGTAGAATTGTTTTAAACTAAAAGAGAATGTTTTTGAGGTAGCTTTTATTTTTATCACAATGAAATTACCTTAAAATGATCATTGAAATGCTTCATACTAATAAAAATACACACCAAACTTCTATGAATCATGCCATAACCTACAGTAAAACAATGACAATACCCTTGTTAGGCAGCATGACCAATGCACTATGAAAGTATAAAATATAGCAAAAGAGTTTTGGATGTATGAAAGATTTTGATAACACTCTTTGATAAAAGAGGTTCAATGCTGGCTCATTTGGAAGCTTGAACTTCTAAAGTTGTCAGACAATTACCTACGATAGTGAAGCGCACAGTGTAAATAATATGTAGAACCTCTTATTCTTAGCTTTGCAAAATATAAGCGCTGAAGTGACAAAACTGTGGTTATGGGGGAACAAACTGCACACTGCAATCTCAAGACAGAAATGCTGGCTACTGGTTTTCAGGAAATACATATAAAAGGGTGCGTGTCCTGTTATTTCAATGAGAATAATTTAAAATGTATTCAGAATAGGGATGGTTTTGTGGTTGAAGGACTAGACTGCGATTTAGGAATGAGCTCTCCTAGCCTTTCTGTACAATACTAGACAAGTTACATGAACTGTGTGTGGCTGTTCCTCATCTGTAAAGTGAGAATACTACTTTACTTCTTCGTCCGGAGAGCGGAAGTTCTCCGAGAGGCATGGACTGCTTCTTTCTACATGTACAGAATCTTCCAGTGGGGGCCAATCATCTTAGGCTGCATTTCTACATCAGTTGTTCTCAACCAGGGTGCCACAAAACCTTTTAAAGGGTATTCTTTCAACACACGTGAAACTGCTCCACACGCTTCTGTTTCCAGGAGGCGCATGTGGGCAGTAGCTGCAGCAAGCATGGGGCCTGCTCCCCGGCTTCAGTTTTAGCCCCTCCCTGCATTAGGTTTTGCTCCCCTTCTCTGTCAGCTGACAGTCTGCAAATAGCAAATGCAGACAGCAGCCTCCAGCAGGACTCTTTGGGTGCCTCTGCATGTTTCAATTATGTTGTATAAAGAATGAGAAATCACACTGCTGCACACCCTCTTCTTTTTAAAGAAAAAAAATCTTAAATCAGGTAGGAATGCCAGTAACAGTCTTTCCTGTTTTTTCTGGCTATCTTCATGAGGAAGACCTTTGGAAGCGGACACAATCTCCACTGAATATTACTTAATCATAATTTAGGAAGCATTGGAATTAGATGTTAAGCTTAAGATTTTATCTGCAACATAGAAAAAATAAATCCCTCCCCTGCTCAACTGCTCAGTTTTTAGTTTTCTTTATTCGCTGTTTTTCCAGTAACCAGTGGGAGTCCTCAGGGGCAATACAGACCTGAGGAAGTACATGCTTTGTTTTCTATTGTGCAGATCATCTTTATGGGCCTGATCCTACATACTACCACTCATGCATACATGCTAAAATCCGCATCTGCCAAAGTGAGAAAATAAGTGAACTGCACAACTCAAATAGGAAAAAACAGTCAATCTCAATTTGTGCGTGTATGATGAGAAGACTGCTAACAAAGACGGGATATGCAGGGAATACAGATCAGTTGAAATCTGGCCCAAACTGAACTGTACATAAAAAAGCAACATCACCGCAGTTAATAAGATGTATTACCAAGAGAAATGTTTCCACAATTTAAGAATTCCTCTAGCACAGATATGACAAACGTGAGGCTCATGGAGCCCTTCTACCCAGAGGGCCTGGCCTGCCACTGAATTCAGGGCTCCAGGGCCTGATATGTACATAGCCATCAGCAGCAGGGGAGTAAGTGAAGGCAATGCAGCCTGCATTGTCATCCTGCAGCCGCCAGAGCCCAGCTACTGGGCCCCAGGGATCCTGCCAGCGCCTGGGGCACGTTTGACACCCCTGCATTTGCAAACAGGATGTATGGGTAGGCTCAAAATATAATGTCACTGCAAGGTAGACATCTGCAGCCACAAGAGGTGGTTTCTTGCAGCCGACTATAGTAAGTATCCATAATGGCTCCAAGGAAAAGAGCTGGAAAAGAACAGGTATTTTTGCATACAGGTGAGCCCCAAGCTCTGGACAGCCATAAAAAAAATCCATTTTTATTGTCGGGAAGATTAGAAAGATGCCAGTTAGACTACTGCCAACAGCTTTGGTAATTTTTTTTTTTTTTTTGAACAAACCAAAAAGGTACAGAGAAGGATTAGTACAGTGGTGCTCAGTTTTGGCCTCATGGGCCATTTGACTAGCAAAGCGCTGGTCCATGGTCCAAACTGGGCCCCATGCACCAAGATCAGGGCCCCAGGACCCTGATCCCGGTATGTGGGAACTGTGCATAGCCCCTGAGCCTAATGCCAGTTAATTAGGAATGGGCTCCAAGGGCCCTGTGCCACCCCAACCTGGTTTGCATCTGACAAAGTTAGTCTTTAAAGGTGCCCATCCTGCCCTGCTGTATGACAGAAAGAAATGGAATTTGCCTGGTTTAAT